AAGTTTCTGAATGAGAAAGAAAAAAAGTAAAAATGAAGCATTCCTGTTTCGAATTGTCCAACCAATGGGGAAAAAAATGTCGCTGTGGATATCATTGCATAAAACTCATAATGTGGTCACTACATCAAATTGGCTAGGATGTGTATTATTAAAATTGTCAACTAAATTACTAAGTATGGGGAAATTGACTATCAGGTAGTAAACATTTCCTATTAAAAACAGAATGGAAGAACTGCCCGTCTTGTTAGTTTTAACTATTATGTTTGTTCGTGAGGCAAGAGATGGCATGAAAGTACAAAAACTATATGAATGCGCTTCTCACAGCGAATACAAAGAAATCACTCAGAGTCGATGACAGGAACGCATCACCCTTTCCAAGTCAAACGTATGACTTTGTAAATTTAAGAAATTTGAATTAAAAAAAAACTAGGAGCATTTCTAGCAGGGCAGACTCCTCAGAAACAACGGAAGCCTCATATGATGAGAACCTGATCAGCTGAAGGACTGAAGTAAATCCTAGACGGATTAGTCTTAATGGAATTAGATGTTCTGGTTTACATGTGAAATCGGTTCATTACACATCACCAATAGGTATTACCTTGGGCCAGAATCCACCCGCCCTTTAGGGTATATACAGAGATATATATATTGGAATTTATAACTATATACACCTCACGGCAACTACCAATTTGCCACTTACGTTCAGTATCTTACAAGGAACTAGGATACTGTGCGTACAACCTAAGTCCACAAAAACTGATCACATATTTTTTTTCAAATAATATGTATTCAATAAATTTGGTGGAAGTAGTTATCCGTTTCATTTTACTTCTCACATACCGGTACACGAGGAAAGGCTGGCCGCCTTCATGCCCTTTTCGCATTCGGCGAGTCAATTATCCCTGACCTCTAAACAAAACGGGATCTCTCAAACTCGTGGATAGCAATCATGTGTGGCAGTATTCTCCCCATAACCCGTAGGATTAAGTCAAAGACAGTCACAATCGTGTTAAAGGCTGCTACATCCTCATTGAAAAGCAGGGATTTCGCGGACAAGTGAAAACTCAGCGTCAAAAATCGCTGAATGGTGTCATCATCGAAGGACTTCGTCGAACTGAATTCATACTCCGGCCGGGGTGACACCATCCTGGAAGAACTCCAATAAGGATTCAACTGATGCTTTTCATCAGGAGAGAGCTCCTGGTATGCGGCGAAGAAATTCCGCTGGATGTTCCCAGTGACGCGCTTCAGACTACGACAGGCTAGCTGGGCCTTCCAAGCGGTGTTCAGGGCATCCTCCATGGACCACTGGAGCGGGGACTCGGTCGCGTCAATGACACTCTGAAAGAATCGATGCACAATCTTAGCGGCGTCGATCATAAAGGGTCGAATGAGCTCCATAATGTCCAACACGAGCACACTCGGAGAATTTTCGCGTGGGCGGTGAAGCTTTACCATGGCGTCAAGGACAGACTCTTCAAGAGCCGACATCTCCTTCAGGTAGAGAAGAAGTTTCCGGCACGCAAAGACGGGGTATTCGCCTCCACGTAACGTGGGCTCTGCTTCAGCCTTGGGCATCCAATTAGTGTATTCCTTCAGCAACAGCCGCTGCTCGCTGACGGCCTTACGGGCGGTATCCGCAAGAAACTTCGCCTCAAGCCCACTCACAGTGATCGGGGCGCAACCAAGCGCGACGATGGACTGCAGCGTGCTATTCAAGCTAATGAAGGCTTTGACACGAGCATTCCACAAACAGTGAATCGGGTCCACAGGAAAGATAAAAAAACATATCAAAAGATATACCAT